TCTGGAGGTGGTTTTAATCATATACTAGTATATTATGATTGAGAATTTTAGTTTGTACGGCGTTCCAAAAGTACATTTGTTGGAGACGCTCCTGCAAGCTTCGCAATCGTGACAATCTTCCGACTCGGGCATCTCTTTTTACAAAACTTATCTTTGCAAAAATAAAACACAAAAATGCAAAAAGTCTGCCAGGGCTGGTTTGTACTGACTTGTCTGGGGTGCGGGAGCATGAAAATTTGGAATGTATCAGGAGAACTGTGCATATTCATTGTAAACGTCATTGGCCAAATCTTGATTTAAATATTCTAACTGCTAATCATCTAAGTGAAACAAAGTCAATCAAATTCATTTCATACTTTAAATTCTTACATCTTTAAAACATATCATATTATACATCTGTGATCTATAATAAGTTACTTCTAGAGTTAATAATAATTTACTTACTAGATGTAACATATTAATACTAACTAATGATAATGATTCCACCGATTCAAGCAAAGACACTCATACACCAAAAGAAGGTACAGGTTGAGCTGTCCTAGATATTAGTACAACTTTGTTTTTCGTTCTCATTTGCCAAAGTCTCAAAAGTACACATGTGGAAAACTAAAGCAAATGTCTACATGTCAACGTGCGCACAATGGTCTGTAGATCTAGAGAAAATGGTCTATTTTCAAAATAGGACCAGTGCTATAAGGAAATGAAAGTGTTTTGCTATGTGCTTTTAAATTGTTTTCAACCTTTTAGTTTTAGCACATTACATCATGAAATGAGACTTTTCATCTGTCTTACTTTTAGCTCCCCAGAAACTGGAACACTATCCTTGCAAGGTAGAAGACATGTTTCAGTTCATTCAGAAACAAGTCTGGTCTAATTACTGGACCACAAATTACACATAAATGGGCCATGAGTCTATTAGATCATACAAATCGATCATAAAATGTCGCAGTGAAGGGCAATATATGGCCGTTTTTGTGTAGTTGGAGGAAAACCATGCATGCATAGATTTGTGGTCAAAAATTATGCCAGTTTAAGGGGGCTCTGCATGGGGGGGGGGCATAAGGATACTTGAAAAATTGAATTAATCCAATGCTTGCATAATGACAATATCCAGTAATTTAGGCCTGAATTGTCATAAATATATCAAGGAATAGTCGATGATGGTATAGTCAATGATGGAGATACTTTTCTCATTTGAATTGATTGACATTATATTGTAATGCGATTCTTACTGGTCTGGGATTTTTATTTGGTAAAATTTATTGCTGTTTTGATTTAGATGACGGATTTTTTATGAATTGGTTTCCTTATCTTATACGCTGAGTACAACCAGATGTTCCTGTATATGTAAATGCTAACTAGTTCATTTAATCCAATAATGAAAGCCTGAGTATATTTGGCAAACCTGTATTTTCAGTGGCCTTTAGTTGAATTTGACTGTTTTTACTGTAATATTTAGCTTAAACGCATCATATTCTTAGTCCTATTGCCGAGATTGTCCATTTGGAGTACTTGTTCCTACGTGTATGCACCCATGTGGCTTGTGTTTTTTTTTGGTAGCTGGTTTCACACATGGTGTTGTGATAAACCCCATACATAGCCTTCATATTATTAAGCACAAAGTGAATTCACAAAATTAATTTTGAAAGATATTTACTAATGGAAATTAGAAATAAAATGTGATAAATTGTGTAAAATCAGTTTAAATTTGCTTTTTAGGTATCCTTGTATCCCCCATGTGGAGTCCCAACGAATATTTCTAGTTATTTTTAGCATTTTTCAACAATTGTTCATTGATCCCATGCAGCTGCACAAAAAATGCCCATGATTTACCCCGTAAAGAGACGTTGTTAGCAAATTTATTATGGTCCAAAACCCGGAAAACCCCCATAAAGACCCTTCGTTCACGGCCCGCGTTATGCGTGGCCCAATTAAACGACACTTGTTTTTGAATCAGCAGATGTTCCTCTTTCCAGCAACGGTAAAACCGTTTATCAAATTTGCCGCGTCACGGAGAAAAAGCTACTTAAAAATGACTAAAATTTAGAAAGATGAAAATTCTGTTTTCATTGGTTCTGGTAACCCCCTGGTATACCCTTTGAACTTCAATGTTGCATCTTCAATTTTTGTTTTGTAAAAGTAGAAGACCCATGCTATGTGACAAAAGAAACCCCATGTTCATATCATGATCAGAATTACCGTGGTGTCCATTGTAATTTCAGTAATTTTCAGCCATAAATTGTTAGATTTTTGAGGGTCTCAGAGGGGGGTCCCAGAACTCCATAACGAAAAATACCTGGAGGGTTTTAACTATATGGCTGTTAATAGTTCCTCATACCTATCTCACATACAAAGTATGAGCCGATTTGGCCGACCCCCATCTTCCGGCCTCTGCCTGGTTTTCTCGTGCAATGACTCTTAAGTTACTTTTATGGGGTTAATAGGTCATTGCATCAGTGTGTAGGACAGAAGTCTCAGGCTAGGGTTATCAGAAAATACAAGTGATTTCCAAACAACCTAAAGAACGTAGCTGCCTGAGTAGGCAAGGTCCTGAGAGTTGCCCAGCTGCCTTTATTGTCACTGGGAAGTCGCAAAATGTTTGGCAGGTGGAATTGTCTTATTTAGCTGTGTAATTAAAACTCTGTTTTCCTTTGAAATGTACATTTTTTTTTGTGTGGCTGCTATGGTTGTAATGAAGTGATGTTCCTAATTGACCCAAACTGATATGTGGAATCGTATAATGACCTTGTAAATTGAAAAAAAAATTGTAGGCTCATAACAGAATTTGAAGTACATTTATTAGTCAATATTAACTACCACTGCCTCTATAATGTCTGACATATAGAAATACCATTCATAAGTAAGATTGGTAGGATTTAATAACACAGGATTGAATATCCGTAAATAATTTCATCAGGTTGGTAAATGACTGAACGTTCTTTAATCACAACCATTCATTTTTCAAGAGCCGACGTTTCGATGACCTTCTGTCATCTTCATCAGGGCAATTCTGACTGGTTTACTGTGCACTGACGCTAGATGTTACTTGGTGCATAGTGCACTAAAGGTGTTACATAGTTCACAATGCACTTAAGCTAGTTTTTACTGTTTACAATGGGATCACAAACAATACATATGTGACAAGACTTTTAATAATTTCTATTTGAGACTGTGATAGCTCAGCATTGTCAGTTAACAAATTTTATATTATATATAGAACCTCTTTACATTTGGAACCGCATAATTCCCTATGATGTAACAATGCCTAGTATGTAACATTTATCTACGTTCCGGAATTCATTGTAAACAGTAAAAACTGACTTAAATGCACTATTATCTATGTAACACACTCAGAATTGCCCTGATGAAGATGGCAGACGGTCATCGAAACGTCGGCTCTTGAAAAATAAATGGTTGTGATCAAATATCTTTGCTATTGAATAGTTCTCTATATTTTTTTACCTTTTAATAGGAGGTGGTTCCTTCTCTGGCTTTATCTCCACCCATGGGAGTGAGCTTGGGACGGCGGTAGCTGACCTGGCATTTGAGAAGTGGGGTGTGTCAGACCTGTTCTTAGAGACAGCCTGTACTCTGGTAGAACAAGACTCTGCCAATCACTGTGAGCTGAATATGGCTGATTTAGGGCTTCCTGATGACTTTCAGTTTGCTCTCCATGACTTCTGCTTCGGCATTGAGGCCTGTGTAGATGTCGACCTTGTTGTAAGTATACAACACTCTGTAAGAATGTTTGATTTCGAATGGTGTGATTCTGCAACTTCTTGAAATACCAGCCAGTCCTTCAAATGTTATTTTGCCCGAGTTTCGATTGAGGCAGTGCTATTTTTGTGCAATGTAAGCAGATTTTCCCATATTAGGATTTGCTATTGACAGTGCTATGAGATAAAGAACATTTCTTTAACTTCTTAATTTGGTATCAATTAAAATCATTAATAGATTGGGACATTAACAAAATGTGTTTTTTTTTTCAAAGCACTGCCAAAAGACAACGTGTTTTACACGATGCATACGATGCATAACTCATCATACAGATGACGAAAAGGCTTTTTTTTGTTTCTAATTTTGTTAAAACTAAACCAATGTGTAACCCAGGATTTTGTATGGCCACATTTTTAATCAATAAATGACTGCATACATTCTGTAAATTAAAGATGTGCTCTCTGCTTATACAGATTCTAAGGAAGACTCTGAAGGCAGAAGTGAGCTTTGATCCCTGCAACTACACACTTGCAATAGCCCTGGGATCCAGGAGACATGTCCAAAAACTACTCGATGTTGAGTGGGGAGTAGAGCGGACATGGCTGATCGGAACACTTTTCCAGATCAGGTATCTGCATTTTTATATTCTTTCACTTACATAACTGTATTTTTTATGGTTATATAACTGTATGGTGCAACTGATACAGAGTTACATGAGTTACAAGATTTGTTTAACTTTGCTTTGCTGTACAACAAGCACACAGAGATTGAGATTGGTTCTATTATAATGATGCATTTTTGTCAGGTATGTTCTGAATGATTTCATAAAATGTGTAACAACTTCATTTAATACAGCTCTGCATGGTTTCTATTTTGGTAGACATACCATTTGGAACATGGCAGAAGATCAAAACTACAAAATCAGTCTTGACATTGCCATCTGTCTAGAGGAGGGAGATTGCAGCCTCACCCTTCAAGTCCTACAGGGCCTTGTCTTCCCCAAACCCTTCTGTAACATCAACGGGACTCTTCAATTCCTCAATGGTACTTCTACTGTTACTAATTTTACCTTTGTGCAGAGATGTGATGAACAGTGTGAGTGTGATAACTTGCGCGTGTGTCCGTGCTGTAGAATGGCATAATGTGGGTGGGGCGAATACTCTATTGGAAATTGTCAGACATAGGAATACAGGTCATAAGGAGTTCCAAAAAAGGTTCCATGTAAGATTATCTTATTTTCTGTCTTAAAGTTTTTGCTCATGATACGCATGTATGCTAGCTGGGAGCAGTGCATAAATATATTAAAAAAGAAATTCACAACAATGATGAAACATTAAGAACTAGAAAATCACAAAAAAAGCCGTGAATCTTTGATTTCTTCTTGAACTTGTTTACGGAATAGGTCCTGTTTTGCATAAGTTAGACGTATGATGTATGAATGTATTTATGTATTCCAAACGAAATTGCAATATTCCTGGAAGTATATGAAATATGAAGCGTATAACTTTACTTGGTACAACAGTTGCACAGCATTTTGTATAATGTTTTTAACTGTGCAGTGCACGTTTGATTTAAGTATAATCTGCATACTTCAGGTAACATTATTCAGCTAGCTGTATTCGGTTTACTTTAAAATCTGCAATGGTGACGTTTATGTGTGTTGTCTAGTGCCTTTACTTGTATCGTGAGAAAATATCTGCAGGGCAGTAGTTGCATTTTACATTTTTACCCTCAGGGATTAGTACCACCGCCTTCCTGAATTCCCTGGACCCTGCCTCTCTGGCTGCCGATGCGCTTGAATCACTTTTGATCCAAGTGTTTGAAGCACTCGGGATCTCAGACATGTACAGCACGGCCACCTGCACGACAGCTGCACCAGATGCTGCACCCTCCTGCCCTTGGACACCTGACTTCCCTGATGTGGACATTGTCAGTTGCAAAATGACTGACAGCTGCACTGGCATCATGTGCTGCGTTGATTTTGATTTCCTGGTAACATTGTTTCTAATATGTCACTTAAGGTTAGACATTCAGGTGAACGATATTTAAAGACAATAATTCAAACTGTTCTGTAAATACGGACAATGTAAGAACTCTCAAGTACATGGGACCCCACCATGCAAGCTTCCGAGGGACGAGTAGCAGTTCCTTAGATTTTGAGGAATTACCTTTCTTCATTAAAAAAGCGGCACTTACGAGTCTTTGTCATGTTCAACTGGTTTCTCCAGTTCCTTCACATGTGATTTGTGTCGATTTTTTATCTCAGTTCATTTAGAGACGCTGAACAAGAGCGAAACGTCCATCGCTTATTTAGTAGTAGAGTTTTAATTTTAACTGAATGCTGTTTCTATTTTTCAAGGTAGATACCAAACGTGACGATAATGAGTTATTCCAAAAGTGTGGTAGGCTTTGGTGCTTATTAACTAAACAAAATGTAAGTTTAAAATGCAGAAAGCCTATGTGCATAATACTCTGTGCATATGTGCATAGTGCTCCCCTTAATACTAGTTGAGGATGTTAGACCTTGATTTTTATACAGGAGGTGAGTAGAATACATTTATTCTGTATTAAGAATATTACATGTCACTATTCTCTGGTCTGACTTTGTACACATCTGAGGGAGAACCAGTCAAATGCGGATAGTTCTGGGTACGTAGTTAGAAACAGGGGTGCCTGCAATGCGTGCATACATGTTTGGCACATAGTAAACGATTAAGATCGCAATACTTTCTCCATGTTAATGATCTTTCGTCTCCTGTATTTTCACAGGCAGTGATCAAATCCTTTCCAGTCTATTTTGACATCGACTTCTGCATGTATAAGTTAGTGTTTGGCATCGGCAGCAAACAATACGAGTATCAGCTCTTTTCACTTCCATTAGCTCAAGAACAAACCATCACCATTGGACAGGCCTTTTACATCAGGTAACAATTTACTATCTACAGAGAATCTACAGAAACAGAGAATTTACACGGCTTCCGAGTTGACCGGTGCACATTAACGAGGGTTGAGATGTTAAATCAATAATTTCTGTGCGACTGCTGCCAATTTTCCAGCTGAATTAATTAAAGAAGTTAAGAAAAAAGTTAAAAAAGAGTCTAAAAAGAAAAAAGAAATCTATCGTTGCTGTTTAATAAACTTGCATTGTCTCTATTTAAGAAATGTTTTAAATATTATGCATATTAAACTACTGTAATGTGTTTTATCTAATAAATATCCTTATTAATCCTGGTAACAAAATTTAGCCAAAACTATTGGCCATTTCTGGTCAGTACACACAAATTTAGTTGAATGCAGACCTTCATAATTTCTAAAAGAGATTTTGTATTTTAGCTCAAAGCCAAGAAGACCTAGTAGCCCCGAATCAAACAAGGATGGATTATTTTAATAATTGACATACATTACTTCGTTACATGACATATTTGACATTATTCATCTTCCTGTCTTGCTGTGTAGGTTCACAATTTACCAGCATGAGATGGACTTTAGAGTCCACTTCACAGCGTCCCTGTGCATTGACGGGAGATGTGTGACCAGTGTGGACCTGTTATCAGGTGCAATAATCAACAAGCCGTTATGCAACATGACATCCATTGGATCTTACCAACTACCAGGTCAGACATTTGTTTTATTATGAGTTTTATTCTATGACATCCTTAGTAAATGTCATGTAAAATTAATGGTAAATTTGGTAAGTTTAAATGAAATACATCCATTTAAAAAAAAGTTTGCAATAGTTTTTTTCTAAATTAGAAATTCAGCAGTCAAAACCATAGCATTTTCTGCTAAATTATTATCATATAATGTGGCCACATTTTAGGGGACGACAAAATAGCGACCTTTGCCGCTTTATCCCGAGACTTTGGTGAAGAGGGTTTAAAGTTTGGCGTAGAAGCAGTGTTCAGGAAGCTTGGGATAGCTGACATGCTGAGTGAAGAAAGCTGTGTGGGGCCAACTCCTGAACCTCACACTGAAGACTGTTCCTATTCTCCGCTTCCAGAGTAAGTAAAAACGGTTACCGTTTTAGAGTCAGTGTTGTTTACCTTGTATTTGCACAGCATTCACTACCATCTATATAGCAAACTGTATGGTTTGGGTGTATTTCTCGCACCGCAGTGAAATGAAGCAGATGCAGAAGAAGCTACGCCACCGCAGTGCAAAAAAAGTCAAAGGTCTATGACCCGGTTAAGACATCAAATTTCTGACTATACTTTGTAAAAATGCCACAGGACAATGGTTAATAAACTATATTGCACACATCTAGAGCATTAGAGTTATACGTACTGTGACTTTACTACCCATTTTATTCATATTGTTAGGGCTAGTATGAAGTAAATAAGTAACTGATCAAGACGACAAGAATTTCATATAACGTCAGTAGGATAATTTTTTCAGAAATCTTGCACGTGTTTTTTTTTTCAGACTACCAGGCGTCTCTTGTGTTTACAGTCAGTATTGTCTCGGCATCATATGCTGTGTGGAGATTGATTTGAAGGTATGGCGTCGAACATGAATCTAAATACTAGTATATAATCACTACATATGTTGCGATCTTGTTTTGGTACTGATATATTTGCTATGGATCTTTTATTTTGCGAGAAAACTGTTTTGAAATATATTCTAGCCCATACTTAGTATTGATGATTTTTTTTTTCGTTTTCTTCTCCTTCCGTCTCTGAAGTCGTTTTATTTCACCCTTACTTTGTTCTATGGCAAACTGACAACGCATTATATAAGATCCATTCTCTCTATATGACAGATTGCAGCTTACTCATTCAAAACATGGTTGGCGATTGATCCTTTGTCCTTTCGACTCTCCGCTGGGATTGGAACCAGAGAGTTTGAGTACAGCCTGTTCACTTTCCCATGGGGAGAGGACCAAGAGAACATCGTCGGAACAGTCTTCAAACTGATGTACTGCGAACATTTTTGTTTTGCATTCTAGTTCAGAAAATATTTCTTAAATAACTCTTCTCTCTTGCTAATTTCTTTAAATTTCAGTTGCTCAAACCCATGTTAATCTTCCTATTCCTAGCTGATCTTCAGATTGGTTATAACTATCGTGTTGTATGAACTTCAAATGTCTCTCTCCTTGGTGCTAATTGTTGTTGAGTACTACACTATCAACTTATAACTGTTTCCTTAATGCAAATTTGCCACCGCTATCTCTAGCTGATGATCTCACCTCACATATCTTTAATTAGTGAATTATTTGCCAACATCACTGATTCCAACCCACCAGGAACGACGAATGTTGATGATGATGATGATGAGCGATTCCTCTTTCTAATGACTTTAACTTTCGTATTGATCATTGCACACTACCTGGCTAATAATTAAAAAGTCGGTACATTTTCGCGATTTCTTTGCATGGCAGCACGTTGGTAGAAGGTCTGCGCCTGTGCAAAATCAAACGGGACCAGCATAGCACTTCCACATGGCATCTCCCATTACAACTTCCATGTTGATACTTTGAGGCTTCATTTACTAACACTGCAGCTTAGTTGATCTTAGTCTTTTTCTGCTTTGAAAGAATGTTTAAACAAAACAAAACAAAACACACGTAAATAATTTCATCAGGTTGGTAAACGAATGGATAGCAAAGTTCTTTGATCACAACCATTTTTTTTCGAGCCGACGTTTCGATGAATTACTGGTTTGACGTGCCCTGACACTAGCTGTTACTTGGGGCATAGTGCACTAAATGTGTTACATGGTTCACTGTGGCTCGTAAAAATGGTTGTTATCAAAGAACCCAGCTATTCAAAACAAAACAGCATGTGAATTTTTGTCATGAATCACAGATACAATATCGAGGACCTGACAGCTCAGAAAGCGTTTGGCCTGAGTCTGTCCCTCGATGCCAGAGTAGATTCCCCTGTGACGAGTCTGTTAGGCAAGTTTGTCCGTCGATCTGCCGAGGATCACGTCCATTTCCCACTATTGGTCGGGTCTACTGTACTCAGACCTATTATTACTTCAGGGTTTACACTTCCAGGTGGGTTCAACACATTTCTTTCTATATGGAATCATTCAATTTTTAATGGACACGGGCTAATGGAAAATAGTAAACCAAGGCTGACATAACGTAATTAGCTATCGGCTGGCTCGGATCTGGGATATAGTAAATCCAAGGCCTTGCAATCTTAAGACATATTTTACTAGGACAATCGACCGTGACTCATTTAAATCGAGGGCGAAAAGTAGTGCATGTTACAGTGAGATGTCTGTGAGATTTCAAACTCTATCAAGTTGTTTGAGTAACTGTTTATTTCAATTCAATTGTAACAAGACAATACATTGGCAACCCAGGCAGCATGGCTGATTTGGGGTGCCAAAAGATACAAAATTTAAACATACACAATATAACATGCTAATACAGCAAGCTAACAAGTACGACATTAAATTATTTGAGTAACTTCATTGAGTAACTATTGTCTTCCAACTTAACACCACACTCTGCATGCACATGACTACGACTGGTTACATGGGGTCATGCAATCTGTTACATTAGCTTTTGGACACTAACATATTTATTTTTGTTTTGTTGTTTAAAATTCAATACATCATAAAAAATATGATCTTGTCATTGCTGTTGACAAGCTTTTCTCTATTATGTGCTTAATAGAGTTTAAGAAAAAAATGTTCAAAGAACTGATGTTTCCTTCTTCAGGGAATGGTACCATAGTTGGCTTTAGTGAATTCCTTGGAAATATGGCAGTTGGTGCCATGGACGTGACAGTCGAGGCGCTGTTCCGCTCACTCGAGATCTCTGAGCTATTTTTGAGTGAGCCGTGTGCAGACGTAGTTAACAAAGAAGTTCCTGAAACATGCTCGAACCAAAACGAAACCCTGCCAAACACACCTGGGCTTCTCACCTGTGATTATACTGAAGACTGCAGTGGGATAGAATGTTGCATGGTCGTAGACTTCAAGGTATTACTCATTTATCAGTTTTTATTGTTTGTAGGAAAAATATTGATAAATAATAGAAATTATGACTAAAAACTAATTATTTCTCAGTTTTACGTCTAAATGTTTTGAGTTAATGTTGTAGGAACTAAGATAGTTATGTTTTGCAATGAACACTCTGAGAGGTATAAAGCAGACTGTGCACCTTTTTGTTCTTACATTGTATGATACACATATTGAAGATCTTTCGCATGTCCTAGCATAATATGGGATTTATAAGTATATACAGCATTTTTGATAAGCCTTTTCTTAGGTTATGTCTCTTAGATGATTTGCTGGTCCAAATGCCCCCTTTTCATCTAATAACTGCCATTTTTAGATCGTTACCAGGACTTTCAAGCTTTGGTTTAAAGTGGACACCAGTGTGTATAGCCTGTCATTAGGATTCGGCAGTGTCACCTGGACTCCCAGCATCTTCACTTTCCCCTGGGGACTACAGCAGTCTCAAACTGTAGGCGATGTGTTGAAAATCAGGTGGGCGACTAATCAGTTTTAGTTCTATGGCCGGCTTTGCGGAAGAGTACATGTTTGATAACACAATACTTAAGTCAGTTTATAGCGTAAGATTTACAAATTTTGATTTTCCAGACTTGGTTGTTAGTGCTACTGGATGGCACCGACCTATTGTTGTTTTTTTAGATACGCTGTGGATAAGATTGGTATCGAGTACAAGACTAACCTTGAAGTGGACGTCAATATTGAAGGGAGATATCTAAGCATCCCCATATTAAATGGGCACATGTTCCAGGAACCTACACTAGACTTGAGCAAACCATTCTCCTTGCCAGGTACGAATAAGCTTTTTTAATTGTTTTAATCGTTGTCACCAAATAAATATACTAAACACATAGCAATACAGGTCCTTCACCCTGGGCGGTTTTTCCTATTCCCTTACCTTGGACCATATTCCCTGGCCCTGCTGGTGTCCGTTTTTTTTTCTTTTTTTTTTACAAAAAACAAGATGTGTATTACATTAGACGTTTTATTTTGTTTTATACGTTTTATTTTGATAAGTGGTGCTGGCCATATAAACTATGTTTTGATCGGGTGCAGTGGCAGTTTTGAATATTACAATAACATAAATTTCAAGATGGCATAAATAACATAAATTTCAAAACATATACAAAATGGAAGAAAAACGATATGTATAATCCAGTGCTGATACTATTTGTATCCCATGTAGTATCTGCTGTTTTGCTTTAGCGCTCTGGTAAGATGCTGCATTTAATGTTTCAGGGGTAATTGTTTACATTTACAAAATGGATTTCTCATTTATCTCACAAATTGATGATTATATTTTTCTTATTATTTCTCCACGTGTTTCTTCCAGGTTCGTCAGTGTCTTCCTTCCTGTCAGATGTAGGCTACAGTGCAGGAAACGCCGTGGCCAACATAACCCAACAGGCTGTATTCCGTCATTACGGCATTTTTGATTTCGTTGATTTAACATGTGACATGGCAGCTATCACAAGCACTACTAGCTGCCCTGACATCCCCCTACAAGAGCGTGATGGTGTACGGTGCGCAGTTAACCAGGACTGCTCTGGAATCCATTGTTGTGTGGAGTTAGACTTGCTGGTGAGAAACGTTCACTATGTTAAAATGAATAGATAGTAGTTCCAAACTATATACACGTACATGTACAAGTGTATGAAAAACTCCATATTGGGAAATTTTCTCTCGTCAATACAATTACGGTATTGCCATGGTGACATTTATCACGTAAGTCACATACATCTACATGTACTCATTGAATAACTGTATGATAACTAATCCACAGGTTGCTCAGAGGTCCTTCTTGTTGACTTTCAAAGTTGACCCAGATGATTTTGAGTTCCACTTCAGTATCGCAAATAAAAACTTCAATGTCAGCCTGTTTGGTGTACCCTGGGGACTTCAACAGGTTGCGTCTGTTGGGAACATCTTCAAACTGGCGTAAGCTTGCTATTAAGCATTCAGTTCATATAACATTTCACTCTGCATCAACACGTTACGTTACATTTCCAATACGTTCAACTTGATCAAGGGGATGAGACTTAAAATACTTATACCATGGCAATTAATGATTGTATGCCCCAATCCATGCACTTTCAATCAGGGTGAACAAACGTGATAATATAGCACCGGGTGTTATATACCCTTAATAATCTATATACATAACTTTGAAAATATCTATAACAGTCTCGAAATATCAGAATCTAGTGCTTTCTAATTTGAAATGATGCTGAACTCTATTATAATTACTCATGACATAACTCCCTTAAATTAATCAGTACCTATTTTTAAAATACGCATTATTGACTGTTGATTATTTTGCTTGCAGGTACAAGATGGACAGTTTTGACTATGGAAGACAGTTTCAAGTAGATTTCAGCGTTTCTATTACCATCGACAACATTCAACAAGATATACAGCTCTTAGAGGGAGTGCATATAATCACCCCAGCCAAGAACTCCAATGGTCCTGGTAATGCAGAGCTGCTTTCTTTTGGAGGTATTAACTGTATGTGTCATTAGTATTTTAGTATTTTGCTTCCTCTATCTGAATAAGAGGACTGTCATCATCTGATCACGGTGGTCAAAATTGGGCCCCGATCTCCCCACCTGCAGTAGAACCCGAACCATGTTCGATCTGACGTAATTCGAATAGAACGGTGTTCGAAATGAGGTCACCCGCGGTTATTTACAGTAAACCTGGGTCTTCCGGCCCCTTTTTACATGTGTACCTCCTAACAGAAAAAAATCCACCTTTTAACAAATATATACCATTTCCTGGACAACTACATGTCTGCCTTCATTTTGTAGTGGGCTGGAACATGAAACGAAGCTACTGCCGTTATTGTGGGTGACCTGGAAGATCGCAATGCTTGTACTCGCCAGCCTAAATAAACACTGCCTCATATTCATGCCGTAAGACATTCGCGCAAAACTCGTTTAAGATTGGAAGCATGGAGAGTCCAACATATCTCATTGACGGCTCAAAATAACCGTAACGGGTTTGTCCAGAATCGTGTCTTAGGGATATTCGAAAAAGGACCTTGATTTTGACTTATGAGCAATTGAGTGCGAAAAATGTCAAAAAATGCCGTTTTTTCACATTTATGTCGACAAAAACTATACTTAAAATCAGAAATTAAAAAATTCCTAAGACACGATTTTTGATCTTATTCCTAGTCGTCGAAAAACATAAAAATCTGGGATTTTGGGTAACATACGCAGCCAATCTTAAACGATGTTTGCCTAAAAGGATGACTCGGACTGGCGCTCCAAATCCCGCAAAAAATCGTCTTTCGGAGCGAGATTTTTCAAAATTAGAAATTTAACTTAAACAACTAAAATTAAACCTTTGTAAACACGATAATTCCATTTTATTTTGACGGAATTTACCCTTCAATACTATTTGTTTATTTTCAAGTGGTTTTACGGGTAGTTCAAAACAGGCCAAACTTGCGTCTTGTAACCTGATACGTTTTCGAACCCCCCTAGCAATGGGAAAAAATGCCGTAGTGACAGACCGCCGTGGATTTTGGTCCACAAAAATATTGCATTGTTATGTCTGTTTGTGGTTGTGATACTTTCATTCGTTTTACAGTGGCATAGTCAAAACATAATTTAGCTTGAGTGACTCACATATATAAAGTTATCAAAGGTACAGACAAGGTAGTAAGGTTTTGAAGGACTACCGAAGATGATTGTAACAGATTTATTACTTTTATATTGAGATACAATTTTAGTCTGGTTTCTCCTTAGATATCCTGGCAACCATCAAAGAGCTGCCATCTACATTACGAAAGGAACAGATTCTTCCATTTGTGGCATCAGAACTAGGAATGGAAGTAGATGACCTCAGGTACCGATACATCTGATGATCTGATAATTCGTACAGTAGCATTTAATGCAACAGTTTCTATATATTTGTTTCTCATTGATTTTTTTCTTGAGGTACATTTTTGGCTTTGATAACCACGATTAATGTACAGATGTCTATCCCATTACACATATATCATGGAAAATAAAAACTGAAATATGTTTTTTGTTGATCCAAGATCGCCAGATGAGTGGGCTATAGAACTGGATGCTGAATCTGTTCCTGATTGCCCCTTGGCAGACGTATCTAAAAATGCATCTTCATCAACAAAGGGAATGATTAAGTGTGCCCCACTCTCTTACTGCCAGGGTATCAAGTGTCATGTCATTCTTGATCTCAAAGTTGTGCAACCAAAGATTCAGGTACAGTATACAGCAGTTACTATAATTACAGCACTTATAAAGTGAAGACAATTTTTGGACGTCTAAAAGGGAACAAAAGTCAGACAAGTCAAGACAAGATAATGCAAATGACCTTTAATAATTAATTCACTTTATTTTCATATCAATCAATACTTTGTGCTTATAAACCTGCATTTCTCCTCTCGTCTCTCAGTCACTGACGAAAGCTAGTGGATACTAGCTGAAACGTCTGACCGTCTCCAAAATCATATCCAGTTGCTTGAGTAACTGCTTTTTGGTGTAATTTTATTGTTTGCAGCTCCTTGAATTCACTGCAAACAATTTACATGTTCTAAATAATTCTAGTAGCTAAAACTGCAGCTGTAATGACATTAAATGGAATCATACAATAATATTATCAAACTTTGGCAGTGATGTAGTATGTAGCAATTTCATATTCACAAAATACATGCATTAAAAAAAGACAAAAAAAAAACGTTTGTTTCGATTGTAAATGATACCTAATTTTTAATGATACTGATGTCATGGTCATTAACGTAACAGACTTTAAATTTACGGAACTGCTGTTGTATTTTTACTGCAGTATTTTTTTGTTGTACAAGATACAACGCATTTCATATACTGTCATATATAACAGAGTTTACATACTATGACTAATCTTTTCTGTTATTTTCCAGTTCTCGTTTGAGATTATGCCATGTTTTCCTAACTTTGGGCTGAGATTGAATCTGGAGAATATGCAGAGAAACATCAAGTTTGGCAGCACTTATGATATCAGAGAAGGTAAATACGTTTATCCTGTTTTTATCAACGTTTTGCATGTATAATGCATGTATACTATCAACTACAGCCAAACATGTACTAGTCACAATTCAGAGTCTGTTCTTGAAGCACGTGGCCATGTCTGCTACTCTTTAGTAGTTTCTTATCCTGACATAGACACATCCATTAACCACTCTGTTTAAAGTGGTGTGGTCACTATTAACAGGTTTAACTCTAAGGTTCACACACTCTTAGACGCATATTAGATTTTCGATAATATTGGTTTCATGAATTGTCCAGTGACCAACAGCAATAGTTAAGTGACGTCCACATGAATCCAAGTTCACGGAAATTTTGGTAGCCAGTTGGTGCAGCTGTACACAACATGACATCCCTAGGCAATCTCCATGTGGGGCACAAGTGATGTTTTCATCTTCTTTAGGTTTCAGACTAGGACAGACTGTAGAAAGAGCAACCGGACTTTATATACATGCATGGCTTACAAAGGTTACTGCAGTCTGGAATCTTACCATGACTAGTCTGTGTAACTCAAACTCTGCCGTCCCCGGCTTTAATGCCCCCCCCCGGCAGGTATGCCTTACCTTTCAAATGAAAACAACACATGTAAATGATGGTTCTTAGATAATATTACCAGTACCAACACAGATTAGATTTTAAACTAATTATATCGAATCAAGCAAATCGGATTGTCAGACCTGTTTTACAAAAACCCACGGCCATGATAACCCTAAAAATATATTTATGTCACAAATTCATGATAATGTATTAAAGAGAAGTCGTTTCTATACATCTGTATGAAATATAGCCTGAAATCCCTTCCTGATAATTCACGATACATGCAGGCTAGGACGAAACATGTAATAATCCTGCCATATTTCATTCCCTTCCCCGTAATAGATTTACCTGTAAAGATTGTTATTATGTTAAACTTTTATCAACATATGATGGTGATTATATATTTCAGGACCGTTTGAGTATGAATCATTTGGAGACAGCCTGAAGCTGAGATACAGCGTGATGTTGACTGACGACCAACAGTTCAGAAGCACCTTTAGCCTGCTGGTCTGTGTGAACAGGATCTGTTTTATAGACGTTGATCTGGTGTCAGACATCGTCATTCCCCGGCCAAGCAGCTGTGGGAGGCGGCGGAGGGGTGTGGAGATCACAGATGGTGACATCTTTCTATTTTACATTTTTGCTTATGTTCAAATATCATAATGTTTTGGGGGATATATTAGAAAATAATTAACTTGGATTTAACTAGTCTATCTAGTTCTAGTTATAAATCATGAACATGCTCAAGGTGTGGCTGGCCTTAAACAAGGAGATGCTGTTACGTATTGCATAAATAAATCCTTTTGTTTCTTTTTCATGTCTAAAGTTAGGTTTTGGGAAATTCCTTACAGGATCCAGTTATCCGTAAGGAATATTTTAACAAGAGAGAGAGAGAGAGAGAGAAGGAGATAGAGAGAGAGAGAGTATGCATAGACTCCCATACTCCTTCAATATAATGTAGCAGTGTTAAAGTTTTTTGTCTAATTCAAAGAAAAATTTTACAAAATAGGATTTAATTTAGTAGAGTGACCCCATTAGCAGTTTGAAGAAGAGGAGAAAGCAGTTATCCACAGTTATACACTATTATCATACAGCCGGGTGACGTTGACCAATCAGAAGGCTCCATTCCACATTCTTTATGTCGCCGTAATGTCACAAATAGAGTCAAAATCGGGTATTTATTCATCCCAATCCATACATTAAACAAAATGAATAATCACCCGCATATGACCTCAGGTGACGCAATAGAACACGGCTCTACTTCTAGAAAATCCAAAAATAACTTGAGTTGTGTTCCGATGACCTCGGGTGACTCCCATTAGAGCACCTGTTCCCTGACTGTGACCCAGATAGAAGGCCATAGAACGTGAACCCCCCAGTGACCTCAGGTGACTCCAGATGGAACAAATATTCTATGTTCTATTCAGCAGGTGCAAGGGGTAAATTGTACATTGTGTCACTCTTCACTGCATCAGTTTGGATAGGCTATCGTGTAAGCTATATGATAATAGCGTTAATGTTCCGCCCTTTCTCGGTGAATATGGTGTGATAAAGTCAGTTCGCTGCGCTCACTTGGTGGCTTTATTCGGTGGTTATAGCAACTGACAAGGCTTTATCACACCATATTCACCTCGGGGCGGGACATTACCCTTAGTTAATACCTTGGTAGATTTTTGGACAGAAGCAAAACAATGCTTTTCTAACCACATGGGAACCCACTGAAATATGACAGGTTCTAATATTATTTGTTTGATTCTGTAACCACGTTCTTATTTTGAAGTCTTATTTTGATAAATTATTTATTATTGTTATTATTTTGATAGAGATTTCGTATGTCCTTTTTCTGTATAAGCCATTGCCACCTTCTCTTTTTTTAGATTACTGACTTCCTTTTCTCCCGTCTGTTTCAGTGGGTTTACGTTCTCTGCGGGACAACAATTTCAACCAACATCACATGCGTGCTACATTACAAGGGGACATCGGATCCTGTCTGCAGGACCTTAATCGCCACTACAGGGGACAAGGTACGGTGTCTTTATCAGGAAAAGGGGTCCAAGACAGTTCAGAATCTAAGTCACTGTATAGCCAGTACAGTACCTTTCTCGGACTTTCTAAAGCAGCACTAAATGTATTATCGTATTAAAAAGTTAATAATATACAATGTTAGGACACCCAAGTAATATGTACACATCTTGTACTCCCTAACTTGTATGAGATGAATTGAATATTTCAGTACAGCTCAGGGCATAGCCTGATTAAATCCATTAACAGTTTTCCGGCCGCCCAACATCCAGCCGGGGAGGGGCCATTAAAGCCGGGGAAGCAGAGTTTACGTTACACAGACTAGTCATGGTAAGATTCCAGACTACTGCAGTAACATTTATAAGCCATGCATGTATATAAAGTCCGGTTGCTCTTTCCACAGTCTGTCCTAGTCTGAAACCTAAGGAAGATGAAAACATCACCTGTGCCCCACATGGAGATTGCCTTGGGATGTCATGTTGTGTACAGCTGCACCAACTGGCTACTAACTTTTCTGTGAACTTGGATTCATGTGGACGTCACTTAACTATTGCTGTTGGTCACTGGACAATTCATGAAACCGTTCCAAAAAGACAAAATGGTAAGATGCTATTCCTTATGCATTTCAAAATTGTGGCACACACCCGTTCCTTCTTCTTTTTCTTCTTTCGCGTTTAGTCAAATATTTGTTGCTTTTTTACTTCGTATATGTTGAAATATCATTACCTACATGTATGCTAAGTACTAAATTCTAAGTCTACTGACTTTGCTGTAAAGTTGGCATGTGTAGCCATTAACGGCATTATTAACCATTACCAGTCAAAGTGAGGAATGTTTTGATTTCCATGATTATCTTTGCTTCTAATATGACACTGTCAACAATTATCTTAATTGAGACCTCAGGCACACAATGTAAAAAAAACTCCCATCGTCTGATCTTGTCTTGAAAAACCTGCTATTGTGATGTTCAAGAGAGAAAATTATTTAATCTTTAAGATGACCATATGCATTAACTATCATTCTCTTTAGTATTTTCCAAAAAGGAGCAGGTGACAGATCTGGTGGACATTTTGTACTCGGTCGTGAACCCAGACGACCACAGGGTAGTTTTTGAACTGTCACTGCAAGTTTGTGATGGAAGAACAACAGAGGAGACTTGCCAAAAGATCGAAATAGTAAAGGTAGGAAGACGTTTAATTGGTTCATGGATGAAGGGTTAATGAACCGTCCCGGGGTGTATATGGTGTTATAAAGCCTTGGTAGTTGTGAATAAAACCTTATGAATCATGTGTATACATATCTAATCTAGGCATTATTTTCACAAAATTATAATACAATTTAATTCCGTGGTACTGCTCTGTGTATAACAGTAATAACTGGTTCTACAATTCCCAGCAATGTGCGTCCTTCGTAATGCCATCATATCCTTCCATAATTGTGTCCATATCATATCATATCTTCTTAATTGTCTCAGGAGGCAGTTGTAACCCTGCTTGGCTGTAGATTAGACAAGGCTGAGGCAGTGTCAGCAGGAGCATCATACCATCGCTACCGAAGGAGTGTGTCCACTGCAACAAGTGAGCATTTTTTCTTTTTTTAAGATAGAAAGAGAACTGGTAATGGGAACATGTCTATTGCAACCTTATAAAAGAGTTACACTTGGTTGACAGTTTTTCTTTATAAATGAAATATAGAAAATGCTATAACAAGTTTTATTACAGTTTTATTGATTAAAATTTTAAAATAAAGATTCAGCAGAATATATTTTTCTTTCTCTGTAAGATATGTCCAAGCAGACACAAAGAAGTCCTCCTGGAGAAAGGCATGCCTTCTTAGCAACATACAAGAGACAACAACATCTCATCAAGCAGCGCCTCGATAGTAGAATTGCAGTGGTCAAAGTTGTCAAAAGAGAACCATCAAGTAAGTGAAAATTATGCAATATCTAAAATTATCAGTCAACATCAGGGAATGAATCTTGGGATAAAAACCTGGAAAGTCTGAAGTCTTTGCTCAAAGTTTTAAACACTTACTATAAAACGATACAATCCAGTGGGGATACAAGATGTACAGAACTGTTGTAAGCCTCTGACATTGTTGACAGGACACACAGAACAACGTGCAGTTACATCTGAAGAAACACATACCTGAAAGTAGAACACTGCCTTGTTTTTAATGAAATAAACATTAAGGGATGATAATAGGAAATTAATGTTGTTTCAATTATTGTTATTTAAGTCTTCGTGTGACTTATTTTGTATTACATGTATTTTTCATAATTACTTTTTGGTACTATTATTATTATTTGTATTATTATTTTTATTATTAAGTGGTCGGGGAGCTTATAAAGGCATTTGCCTGTTTCCCTTAGCCATTTGTATTTATGTAAATATATGTAAAAAATAAAGCTGAAATAAATAACTAAAAATGTACCTAAATCACTGTTTCGTTTCATTCCAGCTTGTGCTGCCAATGAATTCTGGAATAATACAATCGGAGAGGTCCGTGACATGTTGGATCTGCACGCAGTTGACCCAGTCATCGCCTTCCAGCTGATTAAAGACCTCCAGGAACTGTATGCGCAACTGGTATGGTATGAACTTGTGAATTAAAACAATCTGACTGTAGCTTTAGAACTTTTAGTGGTCACAGGACTGTCACGACTTCGATGAATTGAACACAGTTCAATGAGCACAGATATCATTTTCACATTATTTGAACAATGTACTAGTCTTTACATGTTGATAGTGAAGACCGATGGGTGACCATGCCTTTTTTCTTTATTTTACCCAGGGCAACTTAATAAGACCGTTTTTTTAGTGGGACTATTATGGGATTTATTAAGATGAACTATGGGATTTAAGATTAAGTCCCAAATCACAAAAAAAAACAGCACATTTATTAAACAATTTAACTAAAGCATCAATTACCGATGATCTGAATTCATTTCTTTTACAATTATGATTTTTGCTGATAAGCGTAAAACTGATGACTCGTTTCCAATTTACAATGTGTCAAAGGTGTCAAAACGCCTTATTGTAGATGTTTATGCTGACGTTGTTTTGCAGGTTGAAGAGGCCATTGACCTTCTCCTTAGCAAGAATGTGGAAGACATATTTTCTTCCTTTGACATCAAACTACATGGGACATTCAACTTTCCCAGACGTACCGTTAACTTCTTCGACTACCAATACTTCATCTTGGTTGGAGGGCTGGTGCCTGTGACTTTTGGTTAGATTGATTGATTTTGCTGTTTTTGTCTATTCCAAGACGAAGCTGTTTACATATATTGCGAGGCATTTTTTTTCTTTTATTCAAATTTAAACTTAGAGTATGTATTACTTATATAATATTACATGCATATTCATGTTTTAGTATTTAGACTGGTTCACTTTCCCATGACAAGAGACAAACAGTAAGAACAAAAATATTGCAAAATCCTACTGTAACATTTTTTCTAGGTTAAAAAAAAGTTTAAAATTTTGATATTTTACAAATTCTATCAACAAAAATATGGTATTTTGTCAACTGATATTGCTGAGTCAGATAAAACATATGTGAAAAACGTACTGCAAGTTGAAAAGCTAACATTACATTTATTAAACAACTAGATTAACAACTATCACGTACCATGGAAATGGAAACAGATGATGAAGGTGGTGGTTATATGCAATAATATACGGAGATAAAGCAACTTGAATGTGAAGTTTGCATGCCACGGTAATAAGTAACTATACATATTCAATAGTGGCTTTTAGGTAAAAAAAAATGTGATATGCTTGAAATTCATTTACCTGCAGAGTAATGTATAAGCCAAAGTAAGAAATTATTTATTTCAGTTTTCGGGGCAAATGGGTACTACGGTGCAGACCTATCTGTCGGTGCAAGCCTTATGAACATGAACGTGCAGGGTAAGTATTCACCGGTTATGTCCCATTTTGGTGTTAAACAATGATTTTAACGCATTATAGGCGTAGAGCATTGAAGAAAGCCCCTTCTTTAAAAGTTTTTTGAAATAAAATATAAAAATTTCAAGAGAATCTATGTCATGTTTTGATTTGTTTTGTTACAAGGTAGAGTTATGTAACTTTTCTTGTTGGTTTAGTAATAGATATTTAGTAAACTAGTTTTTCAACTAAAATGTATGTCACTATAGGGGGCAATGGTCGCAGTGCCTTTCATCTAACTTGTTTCAGTTTAAGATGATCTTTTCACTGAGCAGAACTGGTTTGGGATCACGTTTACTTTATCCCTTGTAATATTAATACTAAACATGATATTTCAAACATTTTCCAGGTGGAATCATCCCTTACCTCGGTGTTCAAGTGTATGGGGAGTTGGGAGTGGGGGCATTGTTGTATGCAAAACTGCGTTTGGAGGGAGACATCATGGAGACAAAGTTCCCAATTACTGCAGAGATCAGATTCAGCAAGTTCCCAATGGACGTAGGGTAAGAAAACATATCAAAAGAAAATAACATCTATTTATAGTACAGTAACGATATCAATTAAATTATTGAAGACATGTTTGTCATGTGTTAGGAAGTTACAGATTTAAATCTGGTTGACCAGCATACTATCACAAAGTTTTCTTGGTATATCTTCTTTTTTTTTGCTTTTACATTTGTTAAACCTGCTATATTTTTATTTTTGGTAAGAAACATATTTGCAATCACACTCATCCTCTACAACGACAGAGTTGATTCATAAAGTATTAGCTAAGACAGTTGATTTGTAAAATATTTTAACAGTTTAAGTTTTTTTTCTACAGAATGACACTGGACATCGAACTTATTCCCCTGCAACTGAAACTTAAAGCCCTGGTCACTCTGGAGGTCAAGATCCCCTTTATAGGAACCATCAAGAAAACATTGTTCAAAAAGACCCTGTGGAAATACAGCACCCCGTCTATCAAAAACCGTATCCTGGACCTGCACACATGGGAACCTGACAACACTCCGCCTGAGATGGAAGCCGTGGGAGGTGCTGGGGTTAGTCACCTACGTTATAAACTCTGTTCTCATTATGTGACAAAAGTTCTTTATTTAAGTTCTATGTCTACCCCCACCACACATCAATTTTGTAATAAACATATAAAATAAATTGAACTTGTTTGTAACATCCCGCTAGAATATTAATTTTGAAATAAAAGTATCAATAAGAAGTTTATTGCTAATTCGTGCCTGGGGGCTAATTGTAAATTACAAACATAAAAGAACAATGAAGCAGGTATAAAATAACTAAAGTCTACATGAGAAAAGTTAGTTGTCTAAAACATGTCTAAAACTATATCTAAGGTAGAAAACAGGTGATTGGCTGTGAACCCTTTTTTTAATTCATGATGATATATTCTTTTATTAGAACCTTTGGCCATAGGAAATATATAATCATCCTTATGGGCTGTGTTTCAAGAATGTATACCTTATTATTCTGACACCAACATTACATTGTTATATGGAAACACTGGTAGGTCTAATTTCAAATGTCCCAATAGCCTATATATTTTCAGTCTAAGAAAATACTTAGAAGAATTGTCTTATTGTTACTAACTGCCAATTAATATATTTTTGCAACCATGTCGCATTTATTAAACACAAGCGGCACAACCACAAATCACCAATATTTAAACCAAAATGACTGACAGCTGTGTTTCGAACTTTCAATCACACTTCATAGGCGCCATATTTTCTGAGTAGCACTTATTTATAGTGAAAATGGCTGACTGAACTTACTTTGTAAAGACCACATAATGCAGATTCTGGGCGGGGATTTGTGCCTCTCTCAAAAACATATCATGCACAAAAAGCATCCTTAGGCAACACCAATTTAATTTGTTGGTTCTCGGATTTTTTCAGAAAAAATATGAAGCGACAAGGCGAAAAAAAAATAAAAATAAAAACAGGTCTAGGCCTCCTATTATAGGCTTAAATGCTACGGAATGAGCCATGAAGTCAACACAAAAGGCTGGGTTAAAATTTAAACATTGAATTTTGAACTTTTAATCAAACCACTGTATTGATAGATGGGAAAACTGTAACAACTAGGAAGAAAACGACTTTCCTCAACTGTTGGGGGCAAAATATGAGCATTTTTCAGTTGATTCAGGACCAGAATCAATTTTTTTTTTTTGCAAATCAGAAAAAAAAGAAGAGGCGAATCCGAGAACCAACAAATTAAATTGGTGTGGCCTTATCACCACTAATAAATGAATGGAAATGGTAAATACACGTAAATACGATTCCTTCAAAGCTAAGATTATTGATCAATCCCCGTAGCCTGCAGGACGGCGGAAGCGCGACAATGATTACCTGCCACGTCAGACCAGAGAATGTGTGGTGAAACAGCTGACAGGCCTGGACTACACCGAGCCGGCTTTTCAGATAGAAATTACCGCCGGAGATGACCGGTCTAAAGTGCCTCTGACTTACAGTGTTGGCACCGTCCCAAATTCTGATGACATTGTGTCAAAGGAAGAACTTGGTGGCCCAACAACAATTTTAAAGAGGGTAAGCTAGTTAAACTATCGAACTGCTATAGATAAAGTTCATGATTCTTTTTGATAAATTTTAAAACATACAGTTGTATACATCATTATTAGCAGACTTCATACATAAGATGTATTATGTCATAAAGAGACAAGACATACAAGACATACAGGTATGGCTTCCAGTACAAAAGATAGATAAAAAACAGATAAAAATACTTTTTCAATCAAAATAATAATTTTTAAATGGTGTGGATAAGGGCACATTTTGTCATTCTGTTCACAATAAACTTTTGTTAGTCACTCAATCTTTATGATGCCATCATTAGGACCTCACCTTTGGTGTGCCCCTGTACTTCACTGCTGAAGCCTGTAACAATGCAGGTCTGTGCTCACAAGCAACCTGCAGGCTGCCAACATATGACAACACTGTGCCGGGCGGTCGTATTGATGCTTCCTTCCTGTCTACAAGGTGGGTTTATTGGCCTGTAAAATCATGAGCAAAAAATCGGAATATGAAATATCAATAATAAAATGGCCTTGTTCAATATTTCAATGAATATATTTAAATATATATTCATTACATATTGCATTTTAATCGCACTTTCATTTTTTTTTTAAATTCCATTCTGCAAAGGCACTTAGTGTCCAATAAAAAAAAAAACACAAATCTTGAAAATATTTACTTTGGTATCATCTTCAAAGTAGACACCATTCGTAGCTTTGCGAAAATGACTGCGCTAGGTTGGAATTCGATGGTTTTTGAATTTCAAAGAATGACAGAGATTAGTGCACTCTTCTTTTCTACTTTTTGTTTCAGCATAGCTATAGTGTCATAGTCATTATAGATTTAAAAAATCTTTTTTTCTTGCAAGCAATCAATACAAGCTGAGTGCAGTAGCCAAGCTGTTTGATGACTCAGAGCTGAGTCTGCAAAGGGAGTCTGTGGGGTTCGGGAAGGGAACCTGGGGTGATCAGATCATCCCATGGTCAGCATTCCAACTGAGGAAGAACTCTGCAACAAGTCGAGGTAACTCTTGACTACCCAGTTACATTTCTAGAACAGAAAGACATTTCTTTAGTGACATTTTACACATATTCCAAAGACCGTCACTATATACATATAGTAATAGTCTTTTTGCCAAATAACCTATAAACGATTTACGCAATTCCATTTCATTCCATACGTTTAAAATTTGATACATTACTTTATTGTTTTACCAATGACATTTTAAGCTGTTGTGTTACGCCGAAGGGCAGTTATACCGGCTATACAAGTACAGACATTAGTCAGTCCGTCAATTTTCTCTCTTTTATTTTTGTTAATGATTTTTCAAAATTGTTCCATAATGTTTACAACGTATGCATTTCTTGACCATGGTTTTAAAATTATCACGAAACATATACCTTTAAGGTGACATTTAATTTTTTATCTTATCATTTGATATGCCAATCAAGATGTCCTGAACTTTCATCAAACTTTACAGGTGATCCATTGTCATCATTTACCCCTGAAGTGCTCGGTCGACTGACATTCGAGCCATTTGCGGAGATCAAAGGTGCAACAGTTGATGGACCCAATCCAGAAAAGTGTGCTTTACAGTGCCTGAGGTACCCCGGAACAAAGTGTATGAGCTTCAACTTTGACTTCGAATCTAAGGATTGTCAGCTGTTGTCTGACATTGAGGCGGTGGGGCAGAAACAAGGGGCAAGAAGAGAAAGGGTATGTTCTAATGTTCAAAATGTTTTTCTAAAGTAATGTTTATAACCTTAGATCAGATACATTTGATTAGTAAAAGATGTACTGACATGTCGAAAGAAGCTTGATAATAGCTGTTGATGGATGGATGGATGGATAGGTGAATGGACGGGTGGATGGACAGGTGAATGGATGGGTGGATGGACAGGTGAATGGATGGTTGGATGGACAGGTGAATGGATGGGTGGATGGACAGGTAAATGGATGGGTGGATGGATGGGTAAATGGATGTGGATGGATGGATGGTTGGATGAATGGGTAAATGGACGTGGATGGATGGATGGTTGGATTAATGGGTAAATGGATATGGATGGATGGATGGTTGGTTAGTTGGGTTGACAGACAAGCAGATGGAAAGGTGGATGGATGAAAGGGTAGTATGATTGATGGATGGATAAATGAATGAATGGATAAATAAATAAATAGTTGAATGGATAGGGATGGCCGTATGAAAGGGTAGGCTGGCTTTATTTTAAGATGCATTCTAAACAAGAATTCTGAGTTTTTATACCTTCATTAAATATATGAGTTTTTGTAAATGTTTTTGTCCCATTGACTTTGGAAATGAGGTCGTAATTAGCACAATCTAGTTCAATTTATGGTTTTCAAAATTCAAATAACAATATTTTAATGTAAAATTCCTCTCCTTTGTCATAATGTATTTCAACATGTCCTCTTTAAATTATGCAAATGACCTCTACATTAACATAATATAGGCATAGTGATTTTAACCTTTAAGTAACTTACACATGTCACAAGGTATAAAATTCCCATTATTCACCAATAAGAAGTAACAGAATGTTCCCATCAATTATGCAAATTAGGTCATCATTTGCATAATTAGTATCTTTTAATGTCCCATCTGCCATAAATTACATACGTTACACGTATGAAAGTACTATTATATTTAACACTGTAATTATAGAATTTTTCTCATTAATTATGCAAAGTAAGCCCGCATAATTTGCATTTTATTATTTACAACTCTCTCTCAGCTATCTACACAAAAAAAATGATGAAAATATGTTGTTCCTACCTGTACTTATTGGCTTTTAAAGATTTCACTCGAAGGTCCCCTGCAGTTCCAGAACAAGCTGCTAGGGGGACCAAACTTACACCGCTTATTCCTGACAGGATAAGCTATCTGACACCGAAAAATCAAGACCATAGCATGTTCAGCACAAAAGATTCAAAAACCGGAAGTTCTGCTGCAGTACCAAGGTCTTCCTCCAGGAGGCCCATATTTGATCTTGACCTTTGTCTTTTTAAGACCTACCAAGGTACCAAATATCATCACAATCCATAAAAGCGTTCTGAAGTTATTATGCGGAAACACAAATACACAAAAACAATACCTCCATTTTTCATTTATTTTATTATATGGACAATTAACCCAGCAGATTTGTTAAAAATTACAGACTCAAATGCTATGAGTTGAAAAAACGAGAAAAAAATCCCCACACACAAAAAAAGGATGAGGAATTGTTTTTGTGTGCAAACTGATTGCATACAAATAACACGTTATATATATATTTATATATATACAGGCGCAAGTTGCACTCTCCGTAGCTTTCTCTTCTTCGAAAATTAAAAAAAAAATGCATGTATTTTTGTAGTCTGGTTTCTATCACTATTATGAGCGACTTGGAGTTGGTCACACAGCCAAATTTGAACACGCGGGATTGAGCCTTCAGCACAACCATCTCTACTACTTCAATGTGGAAGCTGTGAACATTTTGGGATACACAGGCACACTGGCATCTGAAGTAAGCATACTCTCTCTGTAAAAGTATACAACGGTATGTTTCAGAATCATATTTATAACAGGTTGATAGTAGAATAGATTTTATAAATTGGCTTGAAATTTACCTAGATGTTAGATAATTAGGTTAGGCACAGGTGGTAATAATAATATATATAATACACGTACAGTATTTGTCTTTAAACTACTTTAAACTACTAAGTCTTGACTAGAGACACTTTAGAGTATTTTGTTAGTAAACACTTTTGACTCCATTTAATAGTGAAGCTCTTTTAACACAACGAACGATATTCTGGCTGTCCACGTGTAAATTTGGCCCGTTATTTACTGACGTCATCGTAAAAAAAGTTCTTTCTTTACTTGCCAAATTTTGGTAGTTTTAGCTTTGAAATGACATACTGATTTGTCGTTGTTTACAGGGCATTGTTGCAGACTTTACCCCACCTGAACCTGGCTACATAGGAACTGGCCAGTCAGATGATGTCATTCTAGACTCCTGTCAAGACATACTGATTGACGACTGGGACAGACGATGTTTGGACCACACTGACATACCCAATCACAGGTAGAAATTCTCCGCAGACTATTCTTAGGCCACGTAATTTTTATGGATGATATCAGCGTGCATATTCATTTTTGCCTAATTTTGGAAACAAACAAGAAATTCTGTTGCCCTCTGACAGTAGCAAACATGCCGACAGTAGGCAATGATGTCAGGAGGTGGATTGCAGATAAAAACGTATTATGTTTTGGTGACTGTGTAGATGTGATGTTCCCTCTGAGTCAAAAGCATCTATACATTGTAAAAGCTTTTTCCAACGTTGTTTTTAACAAAAAATGGATGTTGTGCTAATTGGCAGAAAACTTAGCAAAATAAACATGTAGGTATCATTTCTTGTTAAACGAGGTTTTCGATGTCCAAATTTAAAAATGAAGGAATTTTATTTTTCTTGCCCGCCTTGTTTTGTATAACGCATTAAATTTAGCGTCTGTAGAGGATGTTATCCATAAAATTTATGGCGTAATTGTGTAAGGAGATGATGTTAACAGATACTCGGTAGATGGATGATAGAAACTTCTTCAGGAACATTGTTGGGCCGGACAATCAACATATATTTGATAGATAAAACCTCTAACACACGTATGTATGTATGACAATGAGGAGATTGTGTTATAAAAGTAGCTTAGATTCTATTAACTGCCTTCCTATTGCACAGGATCATCTATGACGGGCCAGAGTCAGAAACTGTCTTCAATGGTATTGAGCCTAACATCGGTGTCTACCATACAAGGGCAAACACTTACATTGCAGGTAACCAAGTCCTGTTTTCTCAAACTGGATTTTTCATAAGTTAATGTTGAACATTTAGCAAGTTTTTGACACAAATTTTAGTTCCTTTACCATGCGTTAAAAAGGATGACTGCTCATTTCCATCTATAATTAAATAACTCAATAACTGTGACACTAGATTGAAACATTACAACACTAGAAAGTCTCAATGGTCTTAGAACACATTTAATCAATAAAATCCAAATTAGACTTAAACATATGTACTTGAACTTTAGCTATGGCAGTGTGGAAATTGCATGTACTTTTTTTCAGCTAACTGGAAGGGTATCCATGACAACGAGACTGGTATCTATGGTTACTCCTGGTCTGTTGGAAGAAGTCCCGGGGAAGACTTGATCCACCCCCATGTCGACCCTCATGCTCACCTCTATAATGAGACAGAGTGGACCCATTCTGGTAACATCCACCCCATACCTGCGGACAAGTTTCCCAACAGTGTACTCCCGGGTAATCAGATTTTATTTGCTCAAAACGTACACTATATATTTAATTGATTGATTGATTGATTGATTGATTAATTTAATTGATTTATTAATTAATTTTAATTGATTAATATACATTATATTTTATTATAATATATAATACATTTTGTTAGAGCAAACAATGGGCGGTGAGAATGCATGCACGGAAGTTAGAGAGCATAGTTGCGGCTAAATTATGTTATTCAGTTATAAAAAAATTAAATGTAACAATTATTGTAGCATGTGGCTACTGTTATTTTTATATTCTTTTTTGTTTTTGTTCATCACGTGGATGGGTGTTAGGAACATTACTGTGGTATGAATTTAAAAATTGTCAAGAGGGAAAGAAACGAGAAGTGATGAACTCCTGCTAGTGTCAAAGTGATAAAATTCACGCAACTGCATGCTATTTATCTATCAAAAGTAGCTATTTTACGGTTGGAGGAGTTCATTATGCATTACAACATTCTCCTTGATTTATGAATTATTTGAGTAACACATCCTCATCTAACTTATTCAACACAACTAGCTATTACCATATAGGCCATACCCAAAGCGTTTATTGTTCTATAGCAGCTTGAACCTCGTTCAGCAGCATAAACATTATTAGAACAGTCCAAATCAAATGTACTGCAATGTTTGACTTGTTTGCAGATGGAAAGTACTACATCACTGTTCGTGGAGTAAATAAGGTTGAGTATGGAGGACCAATGGTTCTCAGTGTCAGTCACACATCACCGTACATCATCGACAATACACCTCCAGAAATCCATGCTATCACATCGATCAAGTACAATGAAGAAACATCAAAAATCTTTGTCGCCTATAACATAAGGTATTTCTATGAGTAATACTCTTCTGTCCTAATGCAAAAATTCAAAATAATGTATAACGTCTGTAATTGTACACAACCAAATATTATATAGTTTACTAGGATATCCATCTTGTATTTTTAAATACAAGAAAAGAACATTTATTCACGTCAACCTCATTTTCTTTCTGCTGGCATAAAAACACACTTGTACAAAAATCTCCAAATACACTTACCAAAAAAGACAAAGCCATCAGTATGTATGCACTACTAGTATCCTAATATAGATTTATAGACATCGTACCTCCCTTTTACCTAACTTTCTCGTATTGTCCTGTAGTTAGCCTTGCAAGGGTTTCCAAATAAATTAGTTTTTACATAAGTGTTGACTCTGCCAGTCATTGCATTGTATATTTAATTGTATGCGGTTAAAAATGGAAAAGGGGAACGGGTTGAACTAGAAACATATTCTGAGGTGCGATCTTAAATGAGGGAATTGCTTCATGTTTCATTCAAAAATATGTACGTGCTACTAGGATGATATTTTCACAAACATGTATTAGATACTTCTAAACTCCTAATTTCTTGGATGTCAGGTTTCAATACTGATCATTTATTTATCTTCGTCTTAGTGATATTGAGTCTGATATCAAAGAAGCAGACCTGGGATTGGGCAGGACTAAATATGACATTCTCCTAAAGTCCTGGGAACGTCATCTGTACACCGGAAACCACACCCATGTTGGGAACGTCACAATGGATGTTGCCCTGGAGGATGGCGTACCAGCGTGGGCTAAGATAAGAGGCATAAACGGAGGTTGGCAATCATTGTTTGTTTAACAACTATTGTTTCCATCATGAAATTTTATCTGTGTTGGTAGTCACATGTTTAAAGTTAACAAAATTTGTCCAACACGAAAAATTCTCTCATCTAAAGCTTTCGACCAGTCACTCTGGTCTTCCTCATTAGGCAGACCCAGTGAAGATTATCACGTGGCTTCTTTGAAGTGTGACGTCAACACTGGGTCAAAGGTATCTGGTGGACGATGTCGGCCCCCGTCGTGGTTCAATTAACTACTGTTTCCATGTTGGAGCAGTAGAGTGTTCTAGCCTTGTTTCATTTCAGTTAAAGGTTGAATAAAAAACATGCCAAAAACTTCAATGACATGAAATGAAAATATCTGACTGTGTGACTGAGTATCTTAATCAATAGTACTGCCAATGAATAAAAGAATCTTTTATTAATTTTGTAATTACCGTACTACTCATTACAACTGCTTTTTTTTAACTGAAGATTCATTAATTAATGCATTATTGTTAAATAATATTACATGCACGGTAATGATCAGTAAAGGTCTCACTGTAGAGTTTTAATGATATTTAACAATCTGTATTTCAAATTAAAATATTGGAACCTTTTGCAGTGAACCTGCGAGCTGTTGCTGTGGCCGACAACCCCATTGTCGTAGACCGCACAGGACCAATAGCAGGAGAGGTGTATGATGGAGACCAAGTCGGGGATGACCTACAGTTTATCAACATGGCAGACCTGGTACGTCTACAGTCAAACCTGTGTAAAAATCCACCTGGCAAGGCAATTTTTGTTGTAGTTCCTTAAATTGACTATGGCTTGACCAGCTCCATAGTGGTGACTGTTTTTGCTGAGTTGTAACACACACGTTTAACTAATAAGTAAATGGTTAATTGAATATTGGGAATTCTCTAATAAGATCTCAGCATTATAAACCCTAAACTTCCGCTAACCTAAGAAGAAATAACATGATTAAATGTAACAAGTAGTAACTTAAATATCATTTTGTGAATATATATGTCATAACAAAACAGATTAATGTTATACGTATTTGTATGTACAAGTTATGTAGATTAAACATAATACACCTCCTGCATTATGTTAGAGCAGCTTAATGAGCCAGTAAGACAGTTTGAACATATCTCATTAGGTATGTGCAAACTGGAAGGACTTCTATGATGAAGACTCAGGAATAAAGGAGTACATGTGGGGAGTGGGCACATCACCTGGTAACCTGGACGTCCTGGAATTCCTGAAGGTTCGGAGCTTTGAGCATACCATGTGTTCTAACTCCGACACTGAGCTCCGACATAACCAGACATGCTACTCCATCATTGTAGCCACCCACAATGGACACAAGGGTCTAAATGTGTCCGGTATCAGCAATGGAGGTGAGAATATATTCTAAGCTATCATAGTCTAAAAAGATGCAGTCTACATTGGCTTTTACTTCCCAACAGTTCAAAAACAAAATACATTACGATGTATCGAATATAGAAGCAACAGTAATGAAGTTGATGCCAAGAGGTTTATATTTTTGGTGTGGGTGTGTGTGGGTGTGGGGTGGTGATGGTAGTGTTTGTGTGTGTGTGTGGGGGGGTGTATTTGTTTATGATAATGTGAGCAATAGGCAGAATTTTGATGCAACGTTGACCAAACAGTTTTGTATGTATGCGTATGGGTATGCATGTGTATATACTTGTCCAGCGAAGAAAATTGTAGGAAGAGCGGAGGTTAGTTGATTGGCATGAAGGGTTACCCTGAAGGTGCCACAACATGCACCAGGTGACTGTAATCGGGCGATATAGGAATGAATTTACGCTGTGCCTGGCTTGTTACATACCCGATTAAATTACGACATACACTTACGACATACAAAAACTACACATTTGGGATGTCTGAAATCGCCGATTTTGTTTTGTACAGTGTTGATTGACCTGACACCCCCTGAGGCAGGCTGGATAGTGGATGGGAGTTATGAGGACATGGACCCTAACACTGGCAGGCCTGTGGATGAAGTCTTCATGTCCGAGTCTGCCTCAGTCTCTGCACAGTGGGGAGACTTTCTGGACCCGGAATCTGATATTGACAGTTATTTTGTGTCTGTGTGGAGATCAGCACTGATCAGGTTAGATTTAAAGACATGATTTGATATTGTTTATTATAACTGTGGAATGCAACAAAAGCTACTACTTTCTGTACATCATATTAATTTATTTTGTTTACATTAACGCAGTGATGATTCTTGAAATGAAACTTGATAAACCAGTACGTACAACCTTCACTTACGTTTTTTTTTTTTTATTCAGTGATCGGTCATGGAGTGCGGCTAAGCAAATACATGAACCAGATAAATTTGACAAAAAAAGAACCCGGGTAGAATATTTCCACCTTCATCTAAACCACGGTAGGACATTTTAGGGGATCAACTTTTTTTTTAGTAATGTAGCTAATGTCCGTGATGAAAAGTTGTCAAAACTGAAACTGAAGGAAAATTTACATTAGCGGCAGGCAATAAAACCAAACATGATTGCAGTCATGAGAAATCCTGAAAATATCATGAAGTATTGTATTGTTACCAGATAAATTAGTAAATGGCTAAATAAACGACTTATACTTTATATAATATGTCAATATTCAACACCCTAGACCTATTTACTGAAACAGTCAGTACGGTACTGTGCCAAAGTCTAGTTTTTCGTACGACCTGTCAAATGTTTCTCATGATACAATGTGTTGTACATAGGTGACAAAGTTTACACTGCAATAACAGCAAAGAACGGCGCCAGAAGCACCACAGAAGTGAGATCAGATGGTGTCATTGTTGACCTGACAGCCCCTGAACTACAGTACCTCGTGGACACACAAGCACACGGGAATGACACAAGTAAAGATTCTGACTACCAGGTAAAATTTTGTAGTATGCTTCCCTTACCCACTCTTATTATGGATTTTTGAATTTAGATCTTAGATCACTGTAATCATTGTTAATACTACATGACAATAACTGTGGCTTTATTGTATCTTGATTTCATACCATATAACATATCATTATTGTTCTGTGATTCAAAAGAACAAAACGACCAATAGTAAATACATACACAAACACTATAACTGTGTAAATCAAAATTCGCTCCGTTGTCTAGACCAATGCAAATTCCATTTCCTCGAGTTGGAAGTTTGACGATCCAGAGTCAGGCATAGATCACTACAAGATGGCCATTATCCAGACCATGCACGGCACCAAGCAGCAGATATTCCCAGGCAAGTGTCGAGTGTAAGGAATTAACAGTCTGATGAATGCAATACAGCAGTTGGTGTGTCTGTGCGGTTTATAATCTGTTAAATGTGAAATGCTATTATCAAAATCATTACCATCTTACCATATGATATTTACCTACATGACTAGAAAGTAGAATATAAAACCTGAATTGAAATGAGCCACGCCAAAAGGAGTTTTAGATTTGACAAAGATCAAGGCTTCACTACTCGACATACACATATTAATAATTCTAAAGATAGTCTGGTCATAATCATATCCAAACTGTTTTTATCTGAATATGTACTAAGCTTTTGCATTTAGAAGCGTAAAACAACGATTGATTTGATGCAAAATGTCATTTACAAGCTTTAAAGACAAAAATTGGCATTACAATATATATATCATATGAATAAACTTTAATTTCCCTATAGAAGGAGAATGCAGTAAATTCTGTTTCATGTATTAACTGATACATTAATGGTACAATTCACTACATATGCCCATGCAGATGTAGACATTTTCTTTTTCTTTGATTACAGTTGGTGAGATATGGAAGCTTCTTTACGCACCTGACCTGTCCCATCACACACAAGGAGACTTGACTCTGACTGCAGGAGCACATTACCACACCAGGGTGGCAGCCGTCAACAGGGCAAAGCTGTCCGCACCCTATGAGACAGATGGAATCACGGTAGACCCTTCAGCCCCAACAGTACGTTAACATGTTTACTTTTGTATAATGTTTAACATGTTTACTTTTGTATAATGTAAACACTGTACGGCACTCTATGACCTTCAGTTACATATTTACATATTTAAATGTATGCATCTGATTTAAGGGTTATTGAAGACCTTACCATGGGAACTGATCCAATAAGGTACCATACGAAGCCTATAATGTACGCGTTCAATGCCTGACATTTTACGTGGCTTACCAGAAGGTTAAGATGGTAATTAAAATATTTCATTCCGAGTATTTTTGAATAGTTTCCTGACTGCTTATAAAGTATGTCGTATGTCAGAAACCATCCCACTTACGATCTTATAGATATAACGTTAATATTATTAACTGTGTCAATTTAAAGCCAGTGTCATTGGATTAAATATTTATATATCCTTCAACTGTAATTCTGCCTTTTAAATTTTTAAATAGAATGATCATTTGTGTTTCGTAAATTTTAAGTATGGCAGATTAGGGAAGCATTTTACACTTCAGGAAAGCATTTTACACTGTTTTCCATGTTTTCTTCAGATGCTGTACGTACTTGTGGGAGTTCTGGATGGAGGTTCAGAGGAGGAGATAGACGGTTATGTGTGGCAGGCTGATCCTGAGGGAATCCAGGCCTCCTGGTTAGCTGTGGATGGAGAGAGCGGTATACAGGACTACTGGGTCTCTGTCGGCACAAGCCCTGGTAAGGATTAACATTTCCCACGTTGAACATCATCCTGCCATTAAATGGGCTGTCCTTATTACTATAACAGTAGGGAAATTATGTAGCTACAACGAACCAGAACCATACCCACTATTCGGTCATCTTTACAGTTAAATTTGTTTTTTTATTCGGATTTGTTTAGATAACACAGTAAAATCAGAGGATATGTTTATATAGACTGGTTTATTTGCAGAAACACATACTTCATACATACATAGTACAGTAGGTTAGAAGCTTTTTGCAGCCAAAGGCTGAATTGAGAAGCTTTTACAAGTTTTTAAGAACTACATGACTAATACATAATGTATATACATAAAAAGTGCCTTGAGAGGCATTAAACACCACTTATGCGCTAGAATAATGCACATTTATGCTAAAATTACATCATACAAAGTAAATGAAAAGCATATGAAAAGTAAAGTAGGGTACTTTATATGGTTCCGCGGGGTATGTTGTTTAAAGAATAGTGATAAGATCAAGTCACAGTTTGAACCTGCAGTTAAAGAAAACCTTTGGTGCCCAATCCGATGGGATACTGTTTTACGCAATATTGAGATTAAAAAATAGGCTTCACAATAAGAGAAAATGTATTGTGTTGAGTATATCTTGAAATTCCTATATCATGGTTCTTTGATATACAATGTAAATAAATGGTCAAAACAGTAATGGAAATCTTCAAATGACGGATTTCTTTGGGCAGATTTACAAAACCATGCAACCATCAAATTTTCTTTGTCTCGCAGTATGGTGTCAATAAATTTCTATGTGTTTTTTTAGTCATTGTATGTATGTGTTTACGAAAGTGATTTTTATTCTTTGTGACCTGTTTAAAATGTGTATTGCCAGGTGGCAGTGAGATACTTGAGTACATCAACCTTGGCATGGAACGATCAGGATACATCCACCCCCTCACACTCCCCCTGACAGATGAACGCACCTGTGGTAGTTCGGACACCTGTAGCCCTGTGTACTACCTGTCAGTCATGGCCAGAAACGGTGCAGCGAGATTCTCTCAACCTGTCATCTCTTCATCCATCCGGGTAGTGGACAGAGACAAGTCCGGGTATGTCACAGACGGGTCAGATCCAGCCTCTGATGCTGACTACCAGATGGACAACACAGCCATCACTGCACACTTCACTGGTGAGAATTTTTATGATAGATGAGTGGTAGGATAAGTGATTGGGTGAGTGGTTAAGGATTGAGTGGATGAGTAAATGATTAAGAAAGCGACTGTATAAATAAAGTTTTGAATAAGTGTTTATACTTGCAATACACTGCCGTGTGTATATATTCAGTTTATTATCATAATTAATGTATTAAGTGTCTAAAATCTAAAAAAAATGTTTGGCAGGTTTTGAGAGCCAACTCCATGGAATAGCGCACTACCTGTGGGCCGTGGGGACGTCTAGCGGTGCATACGATGTGCAGTCTTTTGTATCAGGAGGAATTGTGCTTACTCTTGAGGATGAAGTCAAGGGCGGAGGTAAGCAATTATACTATAAAAAAACATCTGAAAGTTAGGGTATACAAGAATTATCATTTGAAGTCTCAAATTTGCTATTTTTAAATTTCTAAAAGGTTACTCACGTAATTCATCACTTTCACATGCTTGGTTTCATAACTACGTAGCTTCCATTTTCTTAAGACAGTGACAAGTATTACCATTTGTTACCATCTTTAGACCATCTAAAGCCTTAAATCTTACATGGCATACATTTTAACTTAATCTATTTTTTACCATTTATTGTTGAATATGTAGTCCTCATTTTATCATCAGTTTACACATTCTTTTACTGCAGGATTTAGTGGGAGTGGCATGGCTAAGGCTGTGTTACCTCTCAGCTGTGGGCAAACCTACTACGTCATCATCCGTGCTCTCACAGGCTATGGGAACATACTGGAGTCTGTGTCTAATGGCGTCACCGTGGACTGTACACCGCCTAACATCCACATCACTTCATTTGGTTTCGAGGAGGATGGTGAAAACGACGTATGTTTTGTACATGTCTTCTGCCTTTCATATTGGGCATTATGCGCTGTAGAAATATTAATATCAGGAACTGTAGGCAACATCAGTTTAATTTTGTACCTGTAATAACCCATATTTGATCATAAAATAGTAACTGGATTATAAAATGCATCGCTCGGAAGTTGGTTTTAGTCAGTGCATTGTTATAATTATGGGTTCACCACAAAGTGGTGAAACCATATTGCTTTTTCTCATGATTCTCCTCCTTCTTCTTCTCCTCCTGCCATTTCTTTAAATGGATTCAGCTTCTTCATTTTAAGGCCTAAGGACCTGAAATTTGGTATGGAGGTACAGTAGGCAAATACCCCCAGGCGTTTTTTTAATTTTTGTGATACAGGCTTTTAGAATGGTTTTATTTGAGTTTTTTGGCTGTGTTATAGCAAATGTATTACTGAGTTAGTGTGCAGTGTTACCACATTTGGGCATGAGTCATCACAATGGAATGCAGGGCATCAACCAATAGGCATGCAGCTTTCCTCTTTTCTCCTTGCTGATTGGCTGTTGGAATTTAACAGGCTTAACTTAATTAATACCTGCACAGAGCCATTCCATACTGACAGTAGGTCTGTATTCAAGTGTTTTGGTAGGTATTTTAAGCTTTCCTGCTCCAGCATTGGAATGCGGGGCATGAACGCTTCTTTTTTCTTGAAAATCAACAGTTTGCATTATGCAATTAAAAATCCTAACCAATAATGTAGGGAATAGCTATCCAACTGTTGTAGTCTTAGTTGTATGTTACTTCATACTATAGTTATATCAATGTAAAGCATTGTTTTCCCTTGTGTTTCTCATTCTTTCCCTGCCATGTCGTAAAATGTGGTGAGGCCATTGCTGTATTTGCTCCAAAGCAAATGTCGGCCTTTCTAGTTGTAGTTGTTATAGTGTCACACTCAGATCTGTACAGTAGCTTGAGCATTTGGGCTGTACTTCATGTGCAAAGTACACTTTCAGTTAATTAAAGGGCATTGAGAACTCCACCACAACTTCAATAGTAATGTTTAACCTGCAAGGACTATTCCAACTGGTTGCCTGGTGGTAGTAATCAAGCAAGCTATTTTTACTTTCTATGTAGGGATTTTTGCCAGAAGAGACACGTTACCAGTATACCAAAGACACCCTCAGCGCTGCATGGGAATTCACAGATGACGAAAGTCCTGGGGTAGGAGGGAAACACATGTTTGGAACATTCCCATTTGGTGAGGATATTCAGCAGTCAACCAACTTCAGCGGGGTTTCTGTGAGCAGCATGAAGGTTAACCTCCACGACACTGTACTTACGGAAGGTAAGGTTACATTTTGACACGGTGATGCACATGCATATCAGACTACTTTTCATCAATTTGGTTTTAAAAGGTCATTCCTTTTGTGCCTATCTTGATTTGCTTGGCTATTTACCTTCACCAAAAAATTATGTTGCCTTTTTGTATGTATCTAACTAAAGTTTTGTTAGGCATAGTAAAACGAACATTATGCAATAATGATCCAATTTGCATAGTTCATCTAAATTTAATTGCCTGTCAAATTTAACATGTGGCAGGTAGCTAAGGGCAAGAGAAACGTTAACAGGAATGAAGACATGGAGTACATCGTGTTTGATGTTTAAGTATTAAATTCGTAGCAGTTACACTCTTACATTATAGCAATTATTTTTAAAAATTGGGTTTTCATTTACACCCTTAGTAACTGTCAATATTTTAGAGAATAGTTCGATAATTCATTAAAAATCAGGTTATTGATTCCCAATTCAGCTTGTGACGTGTATTCCAAATAGCATAAGATTGTCTGGTCAATGTCTCTAATGTTCCTTTTTGCCTTAACTACATTAAACAATTGTCTAAGTATGTTTAGATACATGTACATACATTACACACATACATACTAACTCTACGGAAGGCATTCACTTTTGGCGAAGCTAATAAATGGGGCTTCTTGTAGTGTTGTAAAGCTACAGGTCAAAGTGTTGCTGTTTTGTCCTATTTCAGGTGTTGCTAACATCCTGTCTATTGAGATGGTGAATGAAGCTGGTCTGTGGGGATCCACTTACTCTGGAGGGGTCATTACTGACCAGACACCCCCGCAGCTGGGGACAGTAGTCTGTCCCAAGTACCTCTCCGGTAAGACTTGTAATAATCATGCTTTATGTCATTACAGTTTTATCACTTGTGATAAAGGTACTGAAAGTGATGATGTATGTACAGGGCAAAAATAGTGACACAGATATTTTCGAGCAGCAGTAGATGGCTTACCTCTGCAGACTGTCATGCTCAAGTGAACAATTACATGTACGTCCTGGTATACTAAATATACTAAATTGTATTGATTTTAAGTTTGCACATGTGCGTATAATAAATACATGGCACATTCTCACTGTTAGATGTTCTTAATCCTAAAGTTGCTATACCTGATTCTTTCATCATCATAACACTGTCATCACTTTGTTTACATAACCTGAAATATAGCTTTACACAAACTACCATAAACACAGTCTGTATTAAACACTTACCCAAGTTAATCTTCTAAAGTGTGGATATTAGATTTAGATTAGTATTCTAACATGCTTATGTTGTAAACATTGTACATCTTTATGATATACTTTATGATATACATGTAGTTGTCACGGAGGTTGAGTGCAGTTGGAGCCTGTTTTTGGAACATGAAAGCAACATTGTCAGCTATGACTTCATGGTGGGCACCCGGCAGAAACTGGACGACATCTTCCAAACCGTTACACTACATGGGCACAGGACCAAGTTCAGAGCTACAGGTGAAAATAAAGTTATTACTAATTGTATTCATCGTACTCAAATTGCTGCATGATTCCACCTATTTTTTGTGGTAAGGCCGCGCTTACATGATTATATGTTTTCGACGTCAGTGTTTCTTAAAGGAATAAAGGTCGAAAGAAAAAGATGATGCCATTTGCTTTAAGCGACGGTCACAACCCGCCGTACGTGCTTCTGCGTGCTGTCTACGTGCAAAAACGTGGGCAAACGTAGGGCATCCGTGCGTGGTGAGTACCACCTCTGTACGGAATCATGCGGATTTGGGAGCACGCAGACACACCGTAGAACTTAAAGTGCATGTAAAACTTTTTCTACGTGCGGTCTGCGGATTCACCACCCGTGCGTGCGAGTACGAGCGACGTGCGTGCCCCGTACGTGCCCTGCGAAAGAAGCACGTGTGAGTACGGCCTCCTTACGGTAAAGTTTCAATCGCACAGACATCGTACGTTGTAAACACGTACAACTCACTTACCACTTGCGCAACGTACAATGCACGCAACCGCTCACGGCCAGACGTAACGTGCAGGCCACACTCTTACACCTTGCGCAACCGTGCGATTGACTTGCGAGTGACGTGCGTCGACGCCACTCCTTCCCTACGTTTTCAGAATAAAACGTAGCCGACGTAGCCTCCCCAAAAACGTACGGACAAAAAACACGCACGGCGGGTTGTGACCGTAGCTTTACCGTAGTCTTCCAAAGGACAAATATAATCAAAGACCAATTTCTTGTTTGGTATGGTGTTCTTTGTGATTTGTCATTTGTTCAACCTTCCTGACCACTTATAAATTTAATAACGAATAAACCTTTTTTTGCTTAACTTTTATTTTGCACATCAGTGATGTGGTGGCCAGAGGATGCAATCCAAAAACTGAAATTTGTCCTGAACAAACATTGTACCTAGAAACTATGCTTATGATAATATCGTACTTTTATGATACAGGTATGGTATACAGTAGTAATTTTAAAAGCTACTTACTCCACTCCATGACACCATGATAACAGAAGCATAGGAGATAAATTGATGTAATAAAATGATCTTTTAGTTTATCTTTTAAGCGCTGACAATAATATATATTGATTTTGCATTTTCAGATCCATAGAGTTGTTTGAAAATGTTGTTGCATTTTGGGAGCTAATGTGCCGTGTGAATGCTTTTTAAAGGAGTACTAACCTCCAGAAGGAAGTGCTATTTTCCGCTACATCATGCTGCAATGAATACATAACTAGCCGACTTTTTAGATAATTTCGCTTGTGCGTCTTGCGCGGCGCATGTTTGTAAAGTGATATTAATATCATTTTCCCCCATGCTGAACCACAATTGATACATCCGGGAACTCTGGCTTACGCAATACTCATACATTTCAGGTCAACATACACATTTTTCGGCGAAAATGGTATGAGACAAGCACATTAACAAGCTGATTATTGAGAAATTACTTGCTTTACTTTGCTTGACCTGCGGTTTGGATACTATAATATCAGGATGTCGAATACAGTGGGAGCCAGTTTCATCCTGCGTGTTTTGATTTTCTCAATTTATTTGCATGTAAGTATTACTTGAAGAGATAATTAGATTACGCCACTTATGGAAAGCATAACTAGATTACGCCGTTTTTTCATCGTCAATATTTGCG